TTTTAGAACTTATTAAAGATTTTTTTATGCTTTTTTCTCACAAAACAACAAAAAAAAAAAAAAAACATCACCCTTCACCCCGAAATTATATTTTTTTAAAAGAAAAGGTTTACCCCGTGCATACCCTTTCAATAAATTTTTAATATTGGGCCCAAGGTGTCCCCCCCGACCTTAATAACTCGTTTTAATTTTTTTTTTTTTTTTTTGTTTGTTAGTTTTTTTTTGTATGGGGGAGGCGTACAATACATTTGACCCCTTACGTTCTTTTGGTAAACGTGAATGTGGCAGTTCCTTAACGGACAGCTTATTGGAGAGGGGAAATTACCTTTAGTTATGGATCTGTCCCTAGGGCCTGAGGTAAATCCGTTAAGTTAATTACGAGGATACTGTTGTGAATTTCCCCACTATTCCCCGGGGGTTGGGGGTTCGGGGTTGTGCAATTGACTGGTGTACTGATACCTAGACCTTTTTCTTATTCTGACGCGAAAGCGGAGCTCAGGTCCTTCGCGTTTTCCTGTTTACTTCGGCGTTTTTTTTTTTGTTTTTTGTTTTGTTTTTGTTTTTTTTGTTCTTCTTTTTGTGTCTGTGTGTGTGTCTTAAGTTCAGTTTATTTACGTTTCCTCCTTCTATTTGTGTTTTCTTTTTCATTTTTCATTTTGGGTGCGCCAGAAGCTCAAACTTAGTCGCGTTTTCTTTTTTTTATTTGAGTTTCCCATTTTTTTAATCCCGTTTTATTTTTTATTTCCGCTTTCTCTTCTTTTCACCCTTTTTTGCGTTGTCCTTTTTTATTGGCGTTTACCTTTTTTTCTCTTTTGCGTTTTCCTCTTTTTATTTGCGTTTTCTTTTTTGTTTGCGTTTAATTGAGCCTTCTAGGCCACCGTAGGTTTATTAATGTTTATCTTAATGGGCTCAAATTATTATCCTCTTTTCCATTGTCCTTGTGACTACCATTATACCACGGATGACGAAAACAGTATCACCATACAGTGACCATACTTTAGCATCCTCACGCAGGGCAGTCTATTGTTGTAAAGTTGCTGAAAAGGAAACATTCTTTCCGAACCTATATCAGTATCTAGGCAAGCTAAAACGGTCTTCAAGCGCTAATCGGTACACAACAGAAAAGGAAGGTTAAAGCCAAATGCTGAGAGTTCCATTGAGCTAAAGTAAGTTTTCGAGTGTGCTGTAGATGCTTAACTTCTGATCAATATTAAATAATACAATCATTAAGATCCGCGGACCAATAATGTCAATAATAGATCTAAATATTTCGGGGGTAGAAGAGGAATCATTTGAATCTTGATATTCATGATTCCTGCCGTTTTTGCCTCGATGATTCATGATTCCTACAAGAATTTTCCTCCAGATTCATTATTCACGAAGACTTTTGATCACCTATTGACTTAATGATTTTCTCAGTGGCAACTTAGTCTCCTTTCGTATAGTTTCTTCGGTGTTCAAACTTCTACTGCATCCGGACTCGGTATCATCATTTGTTTGGTCTAGATATGAATTTTTTTTTTCAGGGTTTTCTTCTACCCGTCGATAGGTAGGAGAGAGAACCTGGGAACGCGGTTAGAATTGATCTTAGCAAAACAATAAGTGCAACTAATATATTTTGCAGATAATTCAACTTAAACATACATTTCATTTTAATTAGCTCAGAGTGTTTTTCTGTTCTGATTTAGCACAGTCGCTGCTGATCCCTTCACGTCCAAACTCTTCGATATTTATGACACAGTTTGGAAACAAGGAATTTCTAAGGTACGTCGTACTGCACGCGACAAATCAACCATAATAACCCTGATAACCATGATGTAGCCTTTTATCTTATGAATGAAATGCGATGGAATCTAATTAATTAAATTGCGGTGGAGTACAATTAATCTCCGACAACTTTTCTATTTTTAGCCTGAACAAATCTCTTTAGGAATCTTCAGATCGGACTATTTGATCGATACAACAGCTGGGACCCAACCAGATGAATGTAACAATTATGATCATAAGGCAGGAAATGGAGATATCGCTGATTCAATAAAACAAGTTGAAATAAACACCATTGCTCTGGGTGGAATTACATTTTCATGTTTGGTTCCCAACATGCACAGGTAATTTTTTGCAACTTTGTAGAAAAAAAAGATAGCGTTATGCAAGAGAGAATAGTCTAATTCTCTCCTGTATTATGGTAACTTTCCGGAAAGTTATGATTGAGTCGCGCTTGCCTACCAATGGAGAACTCAAGAAAGTGCCAATAATAGTTTGAAAATGTACTTTTGAGTTGAAACCATGTACAGTAACAACATTACATTTTTATATGAAAAAGCGATTAAATATCGTAGGTCACTGAAACTTGCCACCATTCGTGTCAGAAAAAGAGCCCGTTAGGCGTAAGGTGGAGGAAAGGTTGGCTTTAAATGTTTGACCAGCATTATCTTTTCATTGTTTGTTCCAGATATCTATTACAGTTAATCGGTCAACATGGCTGCAAGGTATATATATTCAACTTTATATACATCAATAACACTACCGACAATATTGTGAAATATGTAATAACCAGTCAGTAATCACTGGCTGAGTCTAAGACACATTTTAAACGTCTGGACGCCGAGTGAGTCTTTTGGGCGTCTCCTCATTGTAGAAAAGGATCTGAAAGGGTATCAGTCTCGATCAGAGGGTTCGGGATTTGACCAAAATACAGTGTGGGATACGGGGTTGATTGCACCCAGGGAAACGAGGATTTGTTCAAATTTGGCACGGACGCGGGTTGGGAAAGAAAATGATGGTATTCGGGATAGTGATGAAAGAAGTTCGGGATGTGGGATTCTCCTGATAAAGAGGCGGAAATGCGGGATCAGGAGAAGGCTTTGACGTCGAGACGCGAAATTAAAAAGTCTGTAGAGTGTATCACGTGCATGTGCGTTTAATTTCTTTAGGCGCCTAAGAGAACATTATGGTTAGGTTTCTTTGTTGAAAAGGGGGGCGATAAAAAAAAAGGTTGAAAATGTACACACTTAAACCATTACCTAGGCTAGCATAGTCTCTAAACCGATTTTTTTTATAAAAGATTTCGGTGTGCCAGTTGTGCGAGAAAGAATTCGTGTTAATAATTGAAGATGTCTATTCTCCAAGGTCCCTGCTAATCCTGCACTGGATGAAGCCGCAGCTGGGCTCATTAAGGCCTGGGAACTATATGGATCAGCCAGGTATAAACTGAAGAAATGTAAAATCAAAAGATATCGTCAGCACTCAATAGCCAATGCAGTCCAAATTGTGGGATGTCCTACTGTTGAACACGGCATAATCAAAGTAATAGCACGCTATTCTTAATATAGATTATAGAACAATATAAACTGAACGTTGGTCTTAGGGCCACGACTACAGGAAACCAGCTAAGAAAAGCCTGGAATCTAGCGTATGAAAGACATGGTTGGCGTTACTACTGAAATGGCTTTTATATAACTTAAACAATCGTATTTATTTATTCATTTTGTTGCGTTTAAGTGCTGTGATTATGTTCGTTGTGGAACGTGAAGAGGTAAATGTATATGATCAAAAGTTGCTGGAATATCACATAAAAGAAAGGTAAGCAATTTTTGTAAAAAGCTGTAAGTACTTTTTGTTCTTCTGTCAACATTGTGTCAGGGATTTCGAGCCACAAGATACAGAAATTTTGCCTGAAACATTCGACTTTTTTATTCAACGGCCTTCACAAGGGACCGACGGCGTCATATATTGCGTTAGACCACTTCAACACCTGACTTCGTTTTATATTTAACAGAAACTCTGCTGTATGTGTGATCAGGAGGAGCCTTGCAGATGTTTTTCGCAACGGTAAAACGAAGAGCGATCAGTGTTTGTTTGTGTAAGAATGTTTTTATTATTTTATGTTGCTGACAACCCTCCTTTTTTTTCTGTGGATATCATATCATAGTTTGCTCTTCATAAAGAACATGAAATAGCAGTGAGTTTACACATGGAAATGTGTTGGTGTCAAGAAGTAAACAAGTTGAACTTGCATTAGTCTGTGTAGCTGGCGGGGTGAGCAGGCAGAGTGCTTTTGTCCTTTGGCGGAGGGAGGATTTGAAGCAAGTCTTACTGAAATCACCGCTCGCGATCTCCGCAGCCAAGAAAGTACATACCCCGCGCATAACCATCCTTCACGCATCGCAGGCTAATGCATGATGTGTTTCATTCACTACTAATGAAAAGGACAAAACACACTTGACTCAAACGTTTTGTTCAGCTATCATATCGTTCACAACTCTCAAATTGTCGAAACAGTCTAATAGCATATGGTGAGCTCTTTTGAAGAAAAAGTGTTCTTTCTCAACAGGGATGGTCTGGAAGTTGCCGTGGTGTACTACCGGGCAGGCTATTCTCCGAAACACTATCCCACTGAAAAGGTATAGAGACAATAAAGTACCAAAGCTCCAATATTTAAAGGCAACTTCAGATAAATCATCATCATTATCGTAATCATCATCGTCGTCAAGATCACCAACATCAATCATAGCCATCGTCTTCGTAGTCTCCCTCGCAGCCGTTTTTTGGATGTCACGCAACGCTCCTTCAAAACAGAGCGTTGCGTGACATCCAAAAAACGGCTGCGAGGGAGACTATCATCTTCGTCGTCCACATCATCCAGTTCATGACCACCATCAGCTTCGAGTTTTTATTAACGTTTCCTCTGTTTTTGTTAACCTTTGTGCTTTTTGGGACCATTCTTTTTCACCTCGTATCAACTAGAAGTGAGAGAGTTTTCAGTTTAGTTGAGGCGGTAAAGCTAGACCTCAGTCAACTTGTTATTCTAACCAATCAAAGTGGGTGCAGAAGCCTTGCGAACCAATACCAAGCACTCGAATCGAAAATATCATAGGCCACTTCCGAATTATCTTAAGCCTCTCATTCAAAGTAAATCATGGCACGTGTTTATCCCCGTGTTATTGATAAGTCCACGTTTTGATAAAGAGGTTTATGGCATGTCATAAAGGCCAAACATAAAGCTATAGCCAACCAAGATAGTTCAGAGTCACTTGACTTTATCAACATTTTGCTGTTTACAATCGGCGAAGAAATTGTTGAGACATTGTGATACAAAATAATATTTTTTACGTGCCTCAATAAGCAGAGGTGTGCTTTCCTTTTTTTCTTAACCAGGAGTGGGAAGCTCGTTTAACAATGGAGTTAGCCCGTTGCGTGAAATGCCCCTCAGTTGGACATCAATTGATCGGAACCAAAAAGATGCAACAAGTTTTAGCTGAGCCTGGCGTTTTGGAAAGGTATCAAGTACTCGAATATTCAGCGCTTAGTTTAGTATTGAAGGAATTAAAGTTGAACGCCATGCCGCCCTGAAAATGGAACTTAACAAATTTTATCCGTTAAGGATATAACATTCACAACTTTGCGCAAGTTGTGACGGAAGTAGTTTTTTCCTTTATATAACGGTTTCTTTTGTATCTCTGTTTAACATATTAAGTGTCTTTCATTACATTCTCTAGGTTTTTACCTGACAAGGATTCATTTCAAAGGGTCAGAAGAACTTTCACTGGACTCTACACACTTGACTTGGTAACTACTGTTCCAATGAACTTCAATCAATCAATTAATCAATCAATCAATCAATCAGTCAATCAATCAATCGACCTGCCAACCATAGGCAATTAATAGACCTGGTCACAACTGTTCCGACCAACCATTTATGTATTAAAATCATTTAATCAATTTGTCAATGAATCAATCATCGAATCAACAATCACTCATCGTACGCCTCAAATGACAACCTCGTTCCCAGGAGAACGAGGTTGATTAAACGAATCAACCAGTCATCGACCTACCAACCATAACCAATTTTAAAATAGAGATTAAAAAAACACACACACACACCTTCAATAGAAAAATGCTGATCCACGCGATCAAATTTTCCCTCTTCTTGTCGGTATTGGCTTTTCCTTAATTTTGTTAAATTATTATCTTAATTCTGTCTATTACAGGGGACAGAAGGAGACCGCAATATGAAATACTGCTTACAGGCAGTGAAGAAATACGTGCTAAAGCCACAAAGGGAAGGCGGAGGTGAGTAATGTGCCGGGCTTGTAGGTGTGCTTGCTCTGAAATGGTCCTTTTGCAAAAAAAAAAATCTCAGTCAAGCTCTTGGAGTTTCTTACATACCACGACCAAATCGTATACGTTTTAAATCTACAGGTTCTTTTGTAATAGCAAACTTGGAAACAATTCTTTTTTACCTACCACCGTCTAGAAAGGAATACCGTTCTATTATCGTAATTTTTTTTGCCATGTTAATGCATTCTATTTTTATGTACGTTCTTATCACAACAGTTTTTTATCCTTTCAATTATGTTATAAAGGAAACAATATTTACGGAGACGAAATCCGTCGCATATTACTTAAAACACCAGAAAGCAGGTCGCAGTTCATATTGATGGACCGAATTCAGCCCAAATCAAACAAGAATATTCTAGTTCGTCAAGATACACCTGTTTCTGAATGCATTGATGTCATTCCTGAACTTGGAATTGTGGGTATTATTATCAGGTATGTCCCTAGTTTCAGAGTAGACACAATGCCTGAACCCGTCAATCCGAAGTGTCCATCGGCGTCTAACGGAAGACTGACGCCCCGTCCACACGTATCCGGATATTTTTGAATCCGCAAATTTTTCTTTGCGGGTTCAAAACTTTCCACGTCCACACGTATCCGTAGAATCTTCAAATCCAATTTGCCCGTCCACATGTATCCGGATTAACTGTCAGTTCGTCAACTTATTTGTATAAAGCGATCTTCGCCTCACGCAAAAATTTTATCGCTAATCCTCTTCAATAACTGTTTCCAACTGTTTCACTGACAAAATTGTCCCACCAAGCACTATTTCGCTCGTTTAACTTGTTTACGGCGTCCAATTCGTCCGTCCGACATGGAACGGAAAGAAGCTTCAAAATGTCGAGCCGTCGTTTGGTATAATTGAAGTATAATTCCTATATAATAATCGTAGCTTTCCCTCCCAGTGTTGAATTTTTTACTTCTGTGATGCCAACTCACAGAAACCAACATTGATGGGGGCAGAAAATATCACAGCTGTCCCAACTAACGTCACGAGACACGATTATTCTAGGTTTAACTACACACGCGTTATTTATAAGACTTGAAACTGAAGTCCAAGAAGTAAAGAAGCGATGAACTCGGCACCGTCTAAAATATTCACGATAAAGAACTGGCCCCAGTTGTTCAAAATGCGGATAGCGCTATCCATCGGATAAATCTCTATCCACTGGAAAGTGCAATTGGTTTCCCTAATACTTATCCACTGGATGGTGATTTATCCGGTGGATAGGGGGCGCTTTCCATTCAACCCAAAATTCCGTTAATTTCGGTTGGTACATCAAATGGAACGGACCATTTCGGTTTGGTCCGACCGGAATATTCGGGACCAGCCTTGAAGGTGGTCCACTGTGACCGGTCTGGTCATTTCGGTCGGTCGGACCGAAATGTCCCTTTCCATTTGCCAAAATTGTTGTCCCCAGTACCGCTCTTTTCTATCCTGCTTACAAGACCACGTAGTTTCCAATGGAAAGTGAAGTGCTGTGAGTAAAGCATGACATCTCAAATAGTTTGAATCAGTTGCAATTTTTTTCGATCTTTGATATTTGCCATTAACAGTGTCAAACAACTGACGCAACACGACACGTAGGTGAAAAAAAGTGTGTGAAATCAAGCTACAATTGTATAAAAGTCGGTGAGAATCAGCGTTGTCTGAAACCTGTCGACGATATTTAACTAAAGCAATTTATCAATTAAGCTGAAATGAATACAACAAANATTAACAGTGTCAAACAACTGACGCAACACGACACGTAGGTGAAAAAAAGTGTGTGAAATCAAGCTACAATTGTATAAAAGTCGGTGAGAATCAGCGTTGTCTGAAACCTGTCGACGATATTTAACTAAAGCAATTTATCAATTAAGCTGAAATGAATACAACAAAGCCTGGCTGAATACAAATTGGCTAAAAAAACCGAATTTATTTACCGTACAGTTCCAGGAATTGCGTTCGAATATTCTGAGAAACGTATCACTTCAATTCACAAGAATTTTTTACCTTCACCTGCTTTCATAGGCTTTTGACACGAAATAGGATTCCTCCACCTTTAGTTTTCCACCGCCCCTTTTCGACAGTCGAGCGTTCTTTTGGATATAAACAGAATTTACTTTTCTCTTTTAGAGCGTAATTATGAGTGTGCTGAGAAGCCATAATAACAAAACGCGCGGTGGCTTGGGTGGGGTCTGTGAAACCGGAATGTACCGTTCCATTGAGCACGTGAAGTTTCCCAAATTTCAAACCGGAATTTTTGTTAAATGGAAAGCGCCCCAGCTTTTGAACAACTGGGGCCTGGGCTCGATCTTGTGACGTCATTGGATAAAAAACCGGATTCATAGCCTATTCAAAAATTTTCACTCTGGAGAGTGGATTAAAAAATTTGGGGATTCGTATGCCGGATACACCGAAGACATGTGGACTGAAGCCGAATCCGGAAAGAAAAAGTTGCGGATTAAAAAATATCCGGATACGTATGGACGGTGCCTGAAATGGACGCTGCCCAGGCATTTACTTGAATTGAGTAATATATTAGAAAAAAAGTTGCTGGTATTGCGGATGCAATAAATGACATCAACCGTAAATCAACTCTAACGGTAGTTGACTGCTGTTGGTAACGACCGACCAACAAAACAATGTTTTTACCGCTGAAGTAACTCACGTCCCTGAAGCTGTCATTTCGTCTCCAGTGGATAGAAAGACTTTATGTACAAGAAGATTTTCGGTAAATTTCGCCTTTCACCTCGAAATTGTACATCTTTATAACCTTTATCTCCCTATTTCATTAAAATCTTAAAATATCCAGTGGGAAAACTTAGGTTCTCAAAAATTGCTTTATTTTCAGTCGTGGTGATGAAATACTTCTCAACAAAGAAGCTGGCTACTTAGTGAGGACGAAGACCATGGATCAAGAGGATGGAGGCGTGTTTGCTGGAAGAGCCGCTTTCGACAGCCTTTTTCTGATGTAACGTGGTCATTGTGCATATTTCGGTACGTTTAAAGGCGTGGCCATATCTGTCCACGAAAGAACTGTTTTTTTTTTCCTCTCAAGGATGGGAACACAAGACAACAAGTTTCTTTTTCTTTTCCTGCATGAACTTTTGATACAGTCGTTTGGAATTCAACTCCACGAGAAATTGCAACATTTGACGAATTAAACGAGATGGAATAAGTGACGTTTTCGTAGCCGTCGCCGCTCCCTCATAGCTAATCGAGGCGGGTAGTTAGAACAGATTACTCTTAATACATATATGGCGCGAAATACAAGAAGTTACAGCTAACAAAGAACTAAAGTTACAAGATTATTGCACCACGATCAATGTTAAATGTTTCTCATTATATCAATAAATTAAGATGTCGTAGGGCGCGAGTTTTCAGGATATTAGTAACTATTACTAACCGCGTCCTGATTCACAGTTTCAAGCTAAGGCAAAAAACAGTCTAGTATACTGTGCTATCCGTTAGGATCGGGAAAAGAACAACTCATGATTTTACTTGTTGGGTAACATCACCATGGCCTGAAAGCCAGGGCTGTTGGCCACAAAGGGTAGATTGAGGAGAAGAGTCTGAGGGGACTGGATTAGCCTGTTCACAGACCCTCTATTTTCTCTTCAAAGTCGCAACCTCGTTCCCAGGGTAGGAGAGAGAATCTGGGCACAAGGTTGAGTCCGTCGAGCGCGGGTGATAAAATATAAACCGCAGGGGATTTTATTGACCACCAGCGCAAGGTAGTGTTCTCGCGCGCATGCTTCGTTCGCGAGCTCGCCGATGTTTTTCAAGAGAACGAAAAAAAAAAATAAAACAACGTCTGTGTCCAGGCTAGGACTGGAGTGGAGGGAGAAGGGATCAGGTTCGGTTAGGGAAGCAGGCAACAGCCGGACGCGCCGGGAGATGAATACCACTGCAACAACAACCCTTGATATAAACACCAAGAAGAAATTTTACTATTGCAGTTACACTCAATTTATGTAATACATATTACAACGGTATATGGAACCAAATGCTAATAATCTTTACCCTTTTTTTGTCGCCAATAGCTAACAGACCCTTTACACCACAGTTAAAATCTATTACAATGGTTACTAACTACCAATGATAGCCCTGCTAGTTAATATTATACACATGTTTAACATTAAACTCTACAAGGAAAGCATGGCTCTCCTGGGTTCCTGCTGTTTATTAGTTGTCTAGTATTTTTTCTGAAAAACAATGATTAAATTGAAAAACGTGCCTTTAACTTCAACCCGACACTAACAAAAAAGCCTTTTAAAACTATTATTTGTCATCTACTCTTGCTATGGTCTCCTTGTATTTGAAAACAAATGTATCTACAGCATAAAGAAAATGACATGGAGTCCTGTTCAACTTTATGCAATCTAAATTAACATTCATGAATGCTTTGAGCATCTACAATTAATCATTAGCATGCACACTGGTATAATAACATTACTGGGCCGAGTTGTCCAAAGGCCGATTAGCGCTTAATCTGGGGTTAAATTTAACCTGGGTTTCTTTTTCTTGGGTTCAAAAGCATTTACTCGGATGATTTTCTCTGTTATTTTTGGAGCTTCCAATCATCAACTCGCAGAAAAAAAAGAATTAAAACTAAAATGCTTTTTAAGCTTTCAAATTTGAATTCAAATCTCGCACTAACCCTGGGTTATCTTAACCCAGCTTTGAACAACTTGGCCCTGAGGTCCTTTTAAAGAAGGGGTAGGTACGTTCATAGCCTGCATTTCAAAACCCCTCCCTTCAGATTTTAAGGAAGAAGCCATGTACCTGTCAGTATTTGACTATTGTATATGAGCTTGTCTTTTGTGGGTCCTCCATTGCTGTTGCAGTGTGGCAGTGCAGCTGTCACCATTTCGTCTGTCTTATAACACTGTTTCAAGGCCATATCACTTGTCAGAATTTACCCCTAACAGGACCTCATAACTCTCTTTTAAAGAGACGTGAACCCTACTTAACACAACACTCAAGTCTTGTTATCAACTGACAAATTCTCCTTACTTGGATCACTACATTTCTTATTGTGCTTATCGGGAGAATTTATGATCAAATTATTAGAAATGATGCAAATACCAGAGGGAATTAGGTGGAAAGTAACTGAAGGGTAGCAAAGAAAGAAGAAAACCTTCAATAGCTTGACTATTCTACCAAATTGACTCATTTCTTCTTGACAAAAAAGGAAGAATTTGACATTACTAAAGAGTTACTTAGGGTTCCATCTGACCCACCTATCCCTAAGCTTCTGGGCCCAGTTCCTAAAAAGGCCGATTAACGCTAATCCAGGATTAAAATTTTGTTCCACTTTTTGTATTTATCTTCCTATGCATTGGCTTAGAGTAATATTTGATGTTATCATTTCTTTTTTTCGAGGTAAAGGCACAACTGTATATTGTACGCTCTAGTTACATGTTCTTAGACAAGAAAACCTTGCTTAAAATTTGGCTAAATCCTGAATTAAACTTAACCATCTTTCGAGGGACTGGGCCCCGTTGTAGACATAAGCTAACCTTCGTTAGTAATGTCTGCAAAGTCGTGCCAATATCCTTATTCTTGGTAAATTACCAGAATTGCATTTTGAATTTTCCTTCAACCTCATAAACTTGAACTTTACTTACTGTCAATGTTCTACTCATGATGCAATCAGGTGATCAATAAAGCGAAAGAGAGCAAAGAAAGACAACTAGAAAGAATTTCAAGTAATTGTGTCCTTAACTTTTGGAAGACAGATCATCTTCCAATCAGTTCCTGTAGTTTTCAACAAGACTAGATTAGCCTTGACAGGGAACTGTCACCTTCCAGCTCTCTATAGATCTTGCGCTGTCGGCAGTACAGTACAGTCATCACAATGGTTGTTATACCAAAAAATACAGCAAATCCAGTAGCCACCCACTTTCCACTAGAATTACCTGAACCACCATTGCTGTTATGATGCCCTAAAACAAAACAGAAGTAACCCTGTTAATACTACAATGGCATTACAACTTTTGAAAATGTTACAGGTCAAAATTATAATTATTCAGGTTATAATTTTTAAACTAGGGTGAACCTCAATTTCCTCTGTCTCCTAGCCCTAGTTCATGAGTAATTAGGGCTAGGAGACAAAGGTAATATTGATAATCAACCTGGGTTAAAAAATTGTAACCTGGGCCGGGTTGTTCAAAGTTGAGTTAAGATAACCCAGGGTTAGTGCAAAATTTGAATTCAGATATGAAAGCTTAAAAAGCACATTCAGTTTAATTCTTTTGGTCTACAATTTGATGATTGGCTACGCTAAAAAGATTAGAGAAAATTGTCCGAGAAAATGCTTTTGATGATGAGAAAAAGAGACCAGGGTTAAAAATTAACCCTAGGTTAGCACTAATCGGCCTTCGAACAACTGGGCCCTGAATTTAATTTTGACAGGTAACAAAAACACCTGGGGCAAACTAGTTCAAATTGTGTTCAGTAAGGGTTTTGTAACAGAACTTTGTGTCAGTCAATTCTGTCGGTAATCAAACTCATCATTACTGGTAAACAAATCAGATGAATGTACATGATTAGACTGAATTGGAATTTATTCACAGGCAGACTCAAAAATAAGAATCCATTCAACATTTTGTCACTTTATACATAGAAATTAGAAAATTTAAATTTGTATTGGTTAACTAGAATTTGCTGACATTATGTTGATTCTAATACGATTTTCAAAAACAAATGAAGCTGAAAGTGCTTTTAATTATGAAGGTGCTGCAAAAACGACAAGATACAAGTAATAGATTGTGCATATGCAGCAATAACAAAAGTGTTTTAGGTAACAGTATTAATAGTCAACTCTTGACACAGTCACTCCATCATTACCAGTAATGGGAATACCAATCAAAACTTTCTGAACAGCCAAACTAAAACATCTACCTTTTGGAGTTGGTGTCACAGAAGATGGCTTCACATTTGTTGTTGGTGCTGTTGAACTGTGGTTTCCAGGTTTGCTTGTAGGTGTTGAGCTGTGGTTTCCAGGAGTGGGTACCGTGCTGTGGTTTCCAGGAGTGGGTGCTGTGCTGTGGTTTCCAGGAGTGGGTACTGTGCTGTGGTTTCCAGGAGTGGGTGTGACTGTGACAGTCACAGAGGAAACAGTAGAGGTGGGTGTGGGTTTAATGCTACTAGAAGTAGGTGGCATTGTAGTAGGTGTTGATGTATTACTGCGGCTTGGTTTAGATACAAGTTTGGTTGGTGACGCATTAGCAATGGTTGACATAGCTAAGCCGGATTGCACTGCAAAATTATTAGATTAAAACAAAACACAACACTTACTATTATTGTCAAGTGAACTTAATTAACAGTTAATGAATGAGGCCTAGTATGTTATGAAGAATTCTGGAGATCTAGGAGGGTGTTATCTGTTGAGGCCGTAGGCCGAGGCGGATAACACCCTCCGAGATCTCCAGAATTTTTCATATAATATGAAAACTGAATTCAATAATTGTTTTATTATTAATCCAAAATAATTCTTAGTTTAAAAACATAGCTAAAACTTGCTTACCTCCTTCATCTGCGATAGTGCACATTTAGGGTTGTTCAGCTCTGCAAATATTTTCCAAATAGCAGATGTCGCCCTTCGAGTTGTCTTCTTACTGTTCTTGCCATGTTTTTAGCTATTATTTTGCCTAGTTCTTACTCTTGGAATGAGTGAAATGCCCCCCATTTTTGTTTTCACAACCAAAACAACTCAACCACATCCCAAGGTCTTTTCGGTTAACGGTGCATTAACCTGCAAGGAAGCTGCACTTTTGACGTCATTGGTTGATTAATCGCAAAATTCTTCCAAATTTGGTCATCAGTAGCTGGTTTATATGGTGAAGTGTGTGTGTGTTTTTAGCCAATCAGAATGGGGAGATATTTTGAATAAATAATAGTTCATGTCTTAATACATTATGTATCTACCTAGTGGAACCCAGTTAATATGTCANCTGTGCTGTGGTTTCCAGGAGTGGGTACTGTGCTGTGGTTTCCAGGAGTGGGTGTGACTGTGACAGTCACAGAGGAAACAGTAGAGGTGGGTGTGGGTTTAATGCTACTAGAAGTAGGTGGCATTGTAGTAGGTGTTGATGTATTACTGCGGCTTGGTTTAGATACAAGTTTGGTTGGTGACGCATTAGCAATGGTTGACATAGCTAAGCCGGATTGCACTGCAAAATTATTAGATTAAAACAAAACACAACACTTACTATTATTGTCAAGTGAACTTAATTAACAGTTAATGAATGAGGCCTAGTATGTTATGAAGAATTCTGGAGATCTAGGAGGGTGTTATCTGTTGAGGCCGTAGGCCGAGGCGGATAACACCCTCCGAGATCTCCAGAATTTTTCATATAATATGAAAACTGAATTCAATAATTGTTTTATTATTAATCCAAAATAATTCTTAGTTTAAAAACATAGCTAAAACTTGCTTACCTCCTTCATCTGCGATAGTGCACATTTAGGGTTGTTCAGCTCTGCAAATATTTTCCAAATAGCAGATGTCGCCCTTCGAGTTGTCTTCTTACTGTTCTTGCCATGTTTTTAGCTATTATTTTGCCTAGTTCTTACTCTTGGAATGAGTGAAATGCCCCCCATTTTTGTTTTCACAACCAAAACAACTCAACCACATCCCAAGGTCTTTTCGGTTAACGGTGCATTAACCTGCAAGGAAGCTGCACTTTTGACGTCATTGGTTGATTAATCGCAAAATTCTTCCAAATTTGGTCATCAGTAGCTGGTTTATATGGTGAAGTGTGTGTGTGTTTTTAGCCAATCAGAATGGGGAGATATTTTGAATAAATAATAGTTCATGTCTTAATACATTATGTATCTACCTAGTGGAACCCAGTTAATATGTCACTAACAGGCCACAAGAATTTGGCCGATCAGCAGAAAAAGGTCAGATTTCATTGCTGCTTTGTTCTCTTTTTTATTGTACGTGTGCTGACTTTGTAAAGGAGCTGACTATTTTAGAAGTGAACAATATGACAGTTTAGACACTGTTAGTTAAAAAAGGAATATCTATTTCTATTTACCACTGGTCTGTGATTTGAAAAGCACATTTATTAAATTATGGGTGAATTTGTAGGGAAACATTAACAACCAAATTAATGAATGAATTTTCCAATAAAAAATGTATGGCATTTTGCCAGGATAAGTCAAAGAGGCTATAATAGCAAGGTGGTAATATAAAAGGTTCTACTGTACCACAAATACAGTACAGGAAATCCTCTATTAAGGTCCCTCGCTCAAATAACGCCCCCCCTCTCTAATAAGCTCCCCTTTTCAGGGAAAGAAAGTTCATCAGCATCCCCTCTCTTTTTAAACCCTCCCGTCCCTCTCATTATCCTTCACTGATAAAAAAATTTGATAGAACTGATTGTATTAATAAATCGTGACTGTAAAACTTCATTTGGACTGGCCTGGGATGGTTTTTTCAAGTGTTAGAAATTCAGATTTGTTTTTAATCCTCGGTTGAGTGACCTCCAACTTCTTGTATTGAGCTTTTCCACTTTGCATTCTAGTTTTTTATGGAGAACTGATACCACCATTTTCACTAAATTAAATAAGTCTTCCATCTCATTAAAGCCCCCCCCACCCTTCTCAAAAGTGTTTGAAATAAATACCGGTAATACAAGGTTTAATAGAGGATTTACGGTAAATTTTAAAGGATTTATAAAACCTTGGCTCTTTTTGATCTGATGAAGTCAGAAATTTTCAGTTTTATTTATTCTGTTACAGTTTCTGTTGATTTTATTTGTGGTTTTCAACTGGCCTCAATTTATGCATCCATCATTGAACAAAAGTTTAGCCTGAGAAGACAGGTGACATTTGGTGACGCTACCACTGGTTTCGCCGCCAAATGATGTCTGAGAAACGAGTGCAGAAATTCCATACTGATGACGTGTCACTACCCAGATCTGGGTAGTGCTTCTGATTGGTTGAATCAAATTTCCCACAGTGCTCGAACTTAACTTTTAGCTCTGGTCTTCCACTGGACCAGTAGGCTAAGAATTTACTGGTCCCAGGAGCAAAGTTACTGGTCACCCTTTACATTTTTTTTTGCACGTATTTAATTTGTGTGTGTAGGTAAAAACATGTAAATGCCACACTATGATCAAATAAACACAACAATTTACATGTATCTTTTTAGTGATACATAGCAACAATGATAAGTGTATTACAATTATAATTCTTCCCAGTTACAGGCCATAGTTGCAACATAAATAGAATAGCAGCAGTTTTATCAACTTCATTGCTGTCTTAGGCTTAAGTTAGGTCATCAATCCTTTAAGCAAGGCCTTCGCATTCTTTGTGATGCCTGGTTCCAATGCAAAATTGCCCTTTCAGCTGTAAAGTCCTCGGGACTTGAACCATTGAGGCAGATGTTCATGAGCATGTCAACAGTTTCAACATCAAGTGAGTTTCGATACTCTGATTTGAGTCGCCCCATACAAGAGAATCCCCTTTCACAGCAAGATGAGGACACTGCCATTGCCAGACAAATCTCAACCACCATCAAC